GGAGGAGGACAAAGGCAAACGTTGAGACTGGAAAGTGCGTTGTGCAGAAAATGATGTATATTGTAGAATTCATTCCACATTCTCCTGTCCCATGTTGTGGGGAACAACTGGCGCGACGACTTATGAAAATCGGTAAAATTCATTTGAGCGACAGTGAAAAATAGTAACTATCTGCGAACTGCGATCTCGAAAAAAATGCATTTAAATGGCCACCTTATTTTGGCTTAAGATATTTCCCCAATTAGCTAAGGCATTTTATGTGCAGAGCATTACCTGTTCTTGAAGAGAATCTATCAGTTTGGCTTGTTTTGCAACATCTGCAACCGTTTGGATCAGACACTAGAATAAAAAATGCATAATCGGAACAAAATCACTTGTTCTTCACTTGTGCTCTACATCATACATCTGCACTCACCGTGGCACATGGACAATGGATGCTCGCCTCAGGAGAAGATGCCTAGTTGGCGTACCATGTCGATCCGCGTGCAATAATTGTGTACTGCGATAATGACAAAGCGTGTGTTGTCTTAGGTATCACGTAGCATGCAAATAGAGTACATGGATGCACACAGCTCGTTTTGCACCCTACCTACCAAAGATCAAGCCACCTTGGCGAAGGGAAGCACCTTTTGACGAGTTTGGCAGGTAGCTTATTAGCCGACTTTTGCCCCCACCTGTTTCTACGAGAGCTTGTTAAGGAAGAATTCAGACTAGACTACAACCAATCCATTATATAGAGCTTGTAGTTGCATTTTTATAAAAGCTTGGGTTCTTTGAACAAGTATGCGTACGATAAAGGATTTCACAAGAGTGCATTAGCATGGGCTGAAACTACACCTAAACAAATTGAATATTTTAGGGAGCTCGCAGACATTGCCCCTGTGCTGGACGTCGAGGACATGGTTCGCATGAAGGTGCCAGACTGGAAGTGCGTTTTCACGCAGATCCAATTCTACTATCGCAAACTCAACTCCCCTGCTGGACCCCACCCCCATGCCCCGCCGGCCGCCGATTCTGCTCAGCTCGGCGACGGGCCCTCCGCCTAATTGCCACCCTCACACCCCCACACCAGTCCCCTTTGACTAAGCGGGGCTCGTCATGCTGCCTCCTATTGCTATTCGCTCTTCAATTATTTTCAAAGAATGCAAAAATTGTCTAAAGAATTACCATAACATAGAAAGTGCGTTTGTGGTGTTACTGTAGGCTGATGTGTCAGCTACTTGTTGCAGAGTCTGTCTTGCTAAATGTCCAAGACGTGGTGTTCGTATTGTCAAAGATAAAAATTTTACGTAGAAAATTCCTCTCATTATAGGTTCCACTATCCAAATATAGGTGCTTGCATCTGACGTTAAGTGCTACGTCTTGTGATAGTAAATATGTAATTGAAGCCCAGCTCAAGTAGTTATTGCATTGGCGAATAAATAAATCTTGCGTTAAGCCGAAATTCGTTTAAATGCGCTCGCGGTTTTACTTTAGGCTGAAATTTCAACTACATGCTGCAGGTCTTTCTTCCTAAGTGACAAAAACTAAGTTTTCGTCTCGTCAACATATCCGTAGTGTGTAGTAGATGAAATCCTAACTGCATGTCTTATTAAAACAAGAGAAAAAATGGTTTGCTGTTCAAAAATCCACTGGTAAAGAGACTACTCACGTCGAACAATTGCTAGGCTTCTCATTTTGCTACCTGACAGCATAGCAACGAACACGAGTAAATTAAGGCAGTTGGATAGATTTTGATGAAGCATCTTTTTGTGGTTTACAGAAAGCTTCTGAATAACGAAAAGGAAATATTAGCATCACAGTCAATTCTACATATTCTCCTATACAGTTAATAGAAAAGTTATTCGTAAGAAATTCAATAGTGAAAAATTAATTTTCTCCTTGAGTAAAAGTACATGCGTTTGAAGTTACATTCCACGTCTTGTGGTAGCAGATATTTAGGTGAGGTCCAGCTCAAGTTGCATTTAAAATAGCGACCAAATAAAGCTTGCATTTTGAATTCTTCAAAATGAAATGCTGCTTTTGAAAAACATCAACATTTTTAACTATTCCGTCTTAGTCTAAAAGGTACTTTTTTCCACGAAACAGTCGAGAATTCACAAGGCTGTCGCCGTCAAGGTGTGAATGAATTGTGTGCAGACAAAAAGTTACTAAACCAAAGTAGCTGCAAGTCAGCAGGGTAAACAAGCCACAGTTGCTTAGCGGCAATGATGCTGTCCCACGTAACACAAAAAAAACAGTCAGTGACGGCTGGCTAAAAAATTCCCGCTTCTGAAAAAAGGTCGTTTGTCCATTTTAATACAACGCCTGAAGGATGTCATATGTGTAAATGTTACACATGGCGTCCTCGTTCTATATTTTTGTATCAACAAACATTATATCTAATCTTTAAATAAGCCTTATTCATTATAGTTCTCCGGATAAGAAATTGAGTTTCGCATGGGTCAGGAAAATGTGTTGGCTCAATTAGCGTAGAAGTACTCGTGATCACATGCATAATTTCCAGTAACTGACTGTATGATGATTGACAGAGTTAAGTTAGAAATGTATCATGCGATATGTTAGGACATTGAAGTATTGCAATCAATTTGTCTTCATTGTTTCAAAGTGCGGTAAGAAGTAAACGTAATTATTCAAGAGCATTAACTTATAAATTGAGTGTGAGCCCATGGCGCCAATTGCCAAGAGATTCACCACAAGTGCGTTTGTTCTAAATGCATTAAATGACCACCTTCTGTCTTCTTTTTACGCCGTGATATGAAATATGGTAAACACCTACCCCACTGCTTTTTGTGAAAGATCTACACTGGAAGACAGCACTTGACCAGCATTTTACGAGGGCTTACCTACCAACGATACGTCACCATAGTGAATCTTATAAACAGAAATAAGTTTATTTGGTGTGATTCTTCGCCAAATTTTTCAAACACCACAAAAGGTTTGTAATAAAACCATCGGGACATGGACTTAGTTCACACATCTGTGAGACACAAAACAATTTTGCCACTGCATGTAGGTGCTAAAGTATATCAAGGTGGTCGAACTTAGCTGCAGAATACCATGCAAACGCAGTTAAGGCAACCGCCATAGCTCATAAGTGTTCTAACATGAGATAATTATGTGGAAATCAACCTCTGATTTAGCCTAGCCTTCTAAAGAATAGTAAAATCAAGCAGAGAGCGCCAAATAATCATTTTAATTTTACACGCCAAATCTCAACTTGCAATGAGCGTAAATTAACACAGATTCCAGGCAATTGACAGTGCTTTGTTGGGTGATTGCATGGCATTTGTGCAAATACCAATAGTAGCATCAATAATGCAATGTTATAGAGACACCAAACCTAAGCGAACAATCATTTATCCAAGCTTAGATGGGAAAGTAATCTTTGTTATTTCAGCTGAGTTTTCCTTAAACCAGTTCAACCTTTTAAAAATGGCGTGAGAAGATTCTTGAATTCCTTGTTTTGTAGCAATGTTCTTTCTTGATCCCTGTCAGGTTAACACGAAGATTCATCTGGACCAATGACAGTGCTGCAGCCTTGGCTTAGCCAATCCGAATTCACTAAGGGGTATCCAGGGTGAGTCATCAACTCAACAGTAGCTGGACGATCAATGGCGGAGAAGCAGACTTGCAGGTTGTCGAGAGTCAGATTTTGGCCCATAGTTAACATCCCGATAAAGGCATCCGTGCACCTACAATTGAAAGGTGACTGACACGATTAACAATAACAAACGACACGCGGTTTATTTTAGCCAACCTGCTTGACAAGTAAAGTCCGTCAGCCTTTTAAGTTTACATTAGACAGTATGATTACTAGGGCAACAATGCTGTCACAGCGCCACCTTTTTTTAGAAAAAATGGCAGCTCCACACAGAACAGTGAAACACCCGTTCGCGAGTCACAACTGGATTTTTTTATACCCCCGTGGAGGGTAAGAGCGCTTGGCTCGAACCGCGGTGTTCAGCCCAAGTAGTAGTGGTGTGAAAATTGATTGCTTTAATACCCTTCTCTCTTGTGCTTTTGGCGGCTCTGTCACGATGTGAAATTTTGGCTCCACAAAGTTCTTTTGGAATATTAGAATCCCAGTTATGGATAGTAAGCTCGAACATTTTACACTGAGACTGCTAATACCACCGACCTGGTGGTGAATTAGTCAGCGTATCCAAAAGACACCCGCATTGACTGCACTAGCCACTGGGAGGCTAAATGGAAGACTTTCAAAAGGTGATCATTCAATTAGAATCGCCAAACACATCAATTCTGTTCGATGGCAATTTACTACTTTCTGTGAGTCTAATAAGAGTTTTACTAAATTACAATTAGACCAACACAAAAGTTTTGCTCCTTTGTTTGATGCTTTACCAAGCACATCAGCCTTTGTGGAAAATCAAGAGATTACCATTTAATAAAAACAAGTCTTACATTTCACACTTGCGCAACGTCACTTTATCACTTCGTCGATCGATTGCAACTGTTACGGCGCCATTCGCTGTCAACCAATTAAACACATTAACATTTGTATAGAAAGTTTCCAGTCTCACATCTGTGGGGAAAGCCATTCATAAAAAATTATTTGTACATAACTTATGAGTAGGCAAGACTGACGAAAATGGGCTTCTCAAGTTTGGCATGCCTACTCCAACCACTGCAAGACGAGATTTTCGCGGTTCATCTGCAATTGAATTGGAGGTTGGAAGCTGTATTACTGCGTCGCCTGCTTTCCCGCGTAATGTTTCTATTTTATTCAGCCCAAAATTCGACAATTGCGCGGCTGAGGCTACAAATGTGGTGTGCGTACACGGAAATAAATGACCCCGATTCATGATCTGTTCAAGCGGCAACCACA